TGGAAATTGGGGTCGCGCTGCATGGGCAAGCAAGAGGGGGTTGTTTTGAGTTTTTTTTTGACAAATTCGGGAGAAACTTCTGAATAGAGCGTTCAGGTAGACAACAGGGGACTTGCTTTCTTTACGCACATTTACCCTTTATATTTTTTAGAAATAAATAGAATAGGATCGTGGGTGAGGAGAGAGGTCGTATGGTGATACCTATTATGTTGGACGATGCTCAACTCGTTGGACTCATCACAGTGTTCGTTTTGATAGTTCTTATGTGCACGAGTAGATTTCACATAATAAATATATTATGTGTTCCCTTCTCGGGCGGACTGCGGTGGGGAGGGGAAAGACTAGCGCTACGATCACCCAAGAGAGGGAGGGATGTGGAATGTTTTGGATTTGCAACTGTGGACTAACCCCGGCCTCGAGTCTAAAGGGATAGAGGTGAACACCATCATTTATCGCCCCTAGGATGCAGAGTACCCTATAATCAGTATTCTTGGGCAGAATCTGAAAACTGGTTTTCTGGTTCACATTGTTTTGGCGACTTAAAAAGGACATATCGTCGAAGGGATGACATGAGGATTAACCTATGCCAACAAAAACAGTACTGACTGTATCACTACCACCATGGGCCCTTCGAAAAATCAGGAATTATGGATCTTAGCCCAGCTTGTTCTTCATTGCTAATGGATGGCAACGGAGTGACACAATAGAATAATCACAGGGTTTTTCTCCATCAGCTATCTGATAAGCTGTTCTCAGATTTACTCTCAAAGTTCACCACGATCAAAAAAGGGTACCAGGTGCATGGCGCGTTCTAACAGCGAATGCGCCATGCACCACACCCTTCTGAATTGTGAATATAAATGAACAATGTGAGCCTCAAGCCTCGAAAAAGGTACAGATAAGAAAACGCGCCTACAGAAAAGCCTTCAATCGATTCCAACAAGAGAACTCAGGTTACGGACAAAAGGCGACGCAATGTTTACATGTTATATGGGCACAGATGGACACAGACAGGCCAGAATTAGAGGCAGATATTATGACCATGAGCAGACCAACCGCAAGCCGCTGTACTGGTTATGATCGCTCTGCGAACTTTGTTTGCACTTTTAAAACGGTTGTAAATCGCATGGTTCCAAAGTTAGTAATACTTTCGTCATCAAACTCCACCTATTCTGAATACATTCACAGACGGTGTGCTATCCTGAATACATTTGTGCAGATTATTTGACGGAATTACGGTAGTAGAATACCGTATTCGATCTGAGTTCGAAATAAAAGAAGTTGACTATGAACACCAAATAGCGCCACGGAAATAGCCTCTACAGACTACGAGTTGCGGTACTAACCGAGGAAAAATTAGAACACTCCTCGACAAACAGAGAAGGTGGGCCGTGGCAGAGCGCGAGTTAATCAGCTTAGGTAACGAGACATACCGCTGTCAGATCAAAAGATCATCGACATGACAGAAATAAAGGTGTTAGCTCAAATGCGGACCAAAATGCAAAAGCTGGCAAGAGTGAGTAACAGCGCTAGGACGATCCTCAACCAATAAGTGACCTTAACTTATCGGAGACTGATAAACACCCCGAACTAACAATAGGCCTGTCCGTCAACAAATACACAGTAATGATGTCACTGTGGACAGCACGGAGAAGTACCAGAGACCTCACCACGGGCAAATGGGACCCACACGCCCCCGGATGGTGTCCATCTCTACGACTGGGGTATGTGTCACCATGATAGAACGCGGTGCTGCCCTAAACGCGCCTAGCTCTCGTGTTGCATGTACTGGACCACCCCTTCACGAATTTGTGATGCTCCCGTGGCGAAAACATGCGTATTTTACGTCGACCATGTACCACCTGACCTAAAATCAAGGATTGGTCTCACCCTCACTGAAGAAGCCGCTCCCCCTCCCACGGGTACCTCGGCAGGAGGCCCGTCGCGGCAAGAAGGCAGAGTCAGCGGACGAGTCGCAGCGCGTGCTGTGTGTAGGACGTGCAATGGACATTCTATTTAACTTGACGCGAAATCACTACAGTACGCGCTGCGACTCGTCCGCTGACTCTGCCTTCTTGCCGCGCGACGGGCCTCCTGTCGGTACCCCTTTCCCACGGTACAGGTGCTCGGTCTACCGCAGCAGCGGTTGCGTCATTTCTGCACCTCTGAACGCGTCACTAATCGTGAGACGCTGGGCGGCGTTAATGACTTGGATAACGCTACGCTGGTAGTTCAGTTCTTTTTTCGGGGCTTATAGCACAAAATTCGCGTTTTATTGTAGTGATGCACAACCTGCATTTACTCTACGAGGCCTTCTGGCGTCGCTCGGACAGTGGAAGACTCCTCGTTGATGTCACTACAAATATAACCCGTTCCCTGTGGTTGGGCATGCCGTAATTGCACACTCATTGGTACACTGGGCAAGGGCCCTAAAAAATCGATATCAGGCGTGTTTGTCGATACTCTTGATGCTATCTTGCCACATATTGTTGCTAACCCTGCAGCTGCAACATACCCTGCCGCGTGAATCAAGTACCTAATGAGTAACATCATGTTTCCTAGGCTTCTATACTTCTTCTCAATCATTCCCCTTGTTTCGCACCTCTAGCGGCACTTTCTAACGTTAACATTGTGTTGCAACTAAACAAAATAAAATTCATTCCATCTGGGTCGTGGTACGCAATCAGCGCACTCAGCTCCAGGTAACAATAACGATGTAAATTTTCAACAAAAAACAACAATTTTCAACTAATCGTCCATTCAACGTGGCATAAGGCCGAGAAAATGAGAAAATAAAAACTGCGAAATTGCATCTCTGCAAGGCACATTTAGCGAAGAGACACCTCCAAATTGAGAACTATACAGAGAAAACCACTTCCGAGAAATCATTCGAACTGATTGAGAAATCATTGAAACGGACGTATCACAGTTTCTTATAAAGTCCATACCAATCCCTAGGCCACAAATCATTGTGGTTGTTTCGTGGGACTTGATCGATTACTGTTTCGTCGAGTCCGAGTGGGGCTCTTCGTAGGACTGCTACGAGCGCTGTTCTTCCGTGCTCGTGAACTGGGAGCATGCACTGATAATGTAGTATCTATGCGACTTTGAAGCTCTGCCCATCTCTCTGCCCAGTAGCGTCGCTCCTCCAGCACTAATTTCGCGTTTTCGGGACTAAATACGAATCAATTATTAATAACAGAAACCTTCTACAGCCGAATGAAATAGAAGCTTCCATCTGAATATGAGCAAAAGAAAGCTTCTTCTACGACCGGAAATTTGGTACCAAAATACTACCTTTCTAAAAATACCGGATCTGGTGTGATCCGCAGTTTCCAGGATCTATTTCCAGGTACTGCAAATGACGACAGTATATCTTCAGCGTCCTTCGAATTGATTTGAAAACACCTAGAAATTGATTACACTGGATAGCTTACATTACTTCAAATAAATTGGCTACACAGGCTAGATAGCAAGGATTAAACGTATACGAGATATGCGTGAGAAATTGCGGAGGCCACTCCATCCAAAAATTATTAACACATTACGAAAGAAAATGCCAAAGTATTTGGGCGCTAGTGCACGGCAAGACTATCAAAGTGAGATTGAGAATAGGTCGGCTCAATAGGGGGGATTGTGACATTCGAAAACTGAGTAGAGATGCGATGTGGAACGACAGTGGTGTGGAAACGACAGTGGAGAAAAAACTGAGAAAAACCGTCGACAAGGCCGTTAACAAAACCCTCTTTCCCACTAGCAGTGAAGGAGGCTGGCTTGGGGAAGAGGCACGTACAAACAAGTTTTCTGAAGATATCAGTCGTTCTATCGGTTGATACGGCAATCAACCTAGCTGATTTCACACGTTATGCCAGCCATGCACCACATCCAAGGTGGGCGGTCGTAGCGGGGCCAGGCGGCGATAGCGCATAGTACATGCCCTGGGGCCTTATTACTGCGCCGTTTCGGGTTTTGAGTGTGGGAACATCTCTACGGGTGCGTAACCAAGTACAGGCATGACCGAAAGGGGTTTGGTCAACTAATCCCGACCTTTGCGCTGAAGTGTTAACCCACGCATGGCTTGATCGAAATGTCATATTGCCCATATGTCTCGGATCCTTCCTTGGGGAAAATGGCCACAAAGTTCCACAAACTCTCCATGTACCTTAACACGTTGACGACAACGCAGGACACATACGTCCCGCACTTTGCAGGCCATAACGGACAGCGCGGGACGTATGTGTCCTGCGCCCAATAAATTCATTTTCTTCCGCGCACGCGCCATTCTTTTCTTAGTTTTTCGTACATATCATTTGGAAGAAACCTTAGTATAGCTACCAAGATAGTGGCCCACAAAATGCTCACGTATGTCATGATTCAGACGAAGATTCCCGATACCTTACAACGCACTTACTTCATTTAATTTCTCATTTATTTTTTCTTTTCATTAATGTGACAATTAAAAGAGTAGAAGAAGTAAATGTGGAACCTAAGGGATTGCAAGGTATGTGTTTTGATCGAGACAATCAATTCAAAACTCCTTTTAGCATTCATTGTGGCTAGGTTTGACTAACTTTGCTTTTCTCATTGTTATTTCACGTCTTTTGATGGAATTTCCTCTACTGTTCTCCTGGGTAGCTTCTGCACGCTGGAAGGTTAGCGATATTGCTTTTGATCAGACATTGTTTTGTGCATCTATAAACCAAAATCCGCTTGAATTACCGGAGGCGGGTGCGCTCGCAAAAT